ATCCTTAGGAAGGAACTTGTTCATAATTACATAGAAAGAGCTAAAGAAGTCCAATCACCTCATTAACTGACTCTCATAAATCCTAGGAAAAGGGATCTGTTCTCTTGATAGCAAAATTTAACCTTGGTATCCAACCCTCACACATCTCTTGGCTTTCACAGTTTCAGTCATTCAGACAATTGATGCAGCATCTATTTATTCCAGGAACTTCCCTTTCTGTTCTGCTGAGCAGTTTTCTGGCTTTATACCCAATAAAAACTACTGTATACACTTAACTCTGGGAACAGGCTAGAGCTATTTACTGAAGCAGAAAAGTATTGTATTAGGGTGAGAGATCCCTTGTGAAGATAGGAAAGGAATCTTGCTGGCTTTAAGTAAGGCGTGAAGATATTTGAACAGCATTGTATATTGAATACATTATGAGACAAATGTTTTGTGTTTTGTCTCTGCTGATGACTTCAAGGAAATTAGTACCTTCACCTTCAAATGCAGAGAACAAGTCAGTGTGCTGTAAGCCTGCACACACAGGTGCTAAATATCTCAGTCTTAATGCCATCAGGAGTAGGGGTTCTTCTGTACAAAGTTTCAGTTCATGTACAATGTCACTGAAGGATCTGCCTTGTAATTCTGTGGAGAACCTTCTCAATTTAAATATTTATTTATTCTCGATTTTTTTCTTTCCCTCCATTATGGGAATTCTTCCTTGTTTGATTTTTTTTTAAGACTATTTGTGTAGTTTCTAACCAAAGCCCCACTGGCTGATCTGCCCTCAGCTCACTGTGGCACTGGAAAGATGCAGACTGGGCAGGATGTTAGGCACATGAGAGAAGGAATTCTTATCCAGAGAAAACTGGTGGAAAACACCTTTCTTTTGTTTCTGTGCCACCTGGAAGGGTTGCTCAGAAAGCTTCCCTGCAGGCCATATTGTTCTGGAGTGTAGGTGCAGCTCTTCCTCTCTTCTGCCAGAAGCAGAGAGATGAACAGAATTATATCTTGGAACAAGTTGAAGCACAAGGCTGTGTCCCAGCAGCAGTACACATAAATGAAGGGAAGGAAAATGAGCTTTGTTGCAATGAGACAAAGGTTCATTTAGTATTCTCATTTTTTCATTAGGGTAATTATTGTGAAGTATAAGTTTACTTTCTGGTGGCGCTTTTTAAAACTTGAATTCTCTGAACTTCCTGAACCACAGAAGATTAATAGCCTCACAGTTATGTTTTTTCTCTGTAGAGTGAAAAAGTGTAATTAAAAAGAAGATGTACAGTTGAATTAAATTTTTTAACTGCAGCTTGGAAATACTTCCCAGAATACAAAGCATAAATGAAGTATGGGGTATTGTTGCATGCTCTTCTGCAGACAATTGAAAACCATCCTTGCTTTGCAAAGTCAAACTTTTGTCTTGCTTGGTCAATCTTGCTTTTGTACTGGGAGCAAGGTGTCTCATTCCACATGTCCACTTCTATTATGATGAGCAGAACAGTCTAAATAAGTAGAGGGTGTTCTGTTATTTTTAGCAGAGAAAATGTGATTATGTGAAATCTCATTTGTTATCGTGAGAGGTTTAGAAGCCTGTTTCTGCATGATAACAGTTATGCTCTTACCAGAGGTCAGGTTAGGAGAAGGGAGATTGTAGAAATAAAGCCTAGTCTGAGCCACCATTGAAAACATACCAATAATATCAGAGATTAAGACCAGTTCTGGAGCATGCCACAATGTATATGCCATTCTTTCCTCAGGGGATATTGAGCAAGCCTAGATACAGCTGAAGACAAAATTATAGTGTGAGAATAACCAACTGATACCAAACTTTTCCTGCTCAGCTTGCTCAAATAAATGACACTGAACTACTCTGAGCAGACCCTCTAGATCAGAAGTGTTTCTCTCTGGTATAGTGCTGTCTGCTTCTACTGCTCTGTCTGAATAGCAAGAGGAAGATTCCCCCAAAAGGTGTTCAGACTGTTGCAGCTGGGCTGTCTCTTCCTCCTGTTGTTCTCAGGTCCTGAGGATATCAAGGTGAGGAGAATGACAGACTATCCATTACCTTTTGTTGTAGACTCGTATTTAGTTCTTCAGCCCTCATTTCATTCTTTGCTGCCTCCCAGATCTATTAGTTGAGTTAACAGGCAGTCAGGACTTACTTTGGACATCGTTTGTTCCCAAAGCTTTCAGAAAAACAATCATTCATCCTGCTTTCAGTCTGGTAAGGTTTGATCCTCATGTTCTCAGTTTGATGTTCCCTGCTGGTGCTGTGAATATCTTTAATACCATATGGATTCTTATCCCCCTAATCCTGGCATATTGTGTCTGTATGTGTATTTACAAGCAAGGTAAAATCACCACCTCTCTTTTCCTGGAAATCAGAAACTCTGCACACTTTTTTCCCAGCTGAAATCTTGCTGCAGTCCAGACATATATTTATCTCTGCCAGCTTTCAGCCACTCCAGCAAACGACTCCTATATAGCTCAGCAGTTGATTTATGTACCGTTAATGAGTCCTCTGGGAATCTGCTCCTTTCCCTACCTCTGCCCATGTGCACTTGAAATGCCTGAGCATCCTGTACGTCCTGAGTTAACTATACTGATGGATTGCTGTCATCCAGATATCCGAAACACAGGGAATGGAGACGTTCTTTTCTGATTTGGGTAGCCCCAGCTCTACTTTCAAGCTGGAGCAAAGTCTGCACTAAGTATTGAAGGACAGGGCAACACTAACCAAGCAACAAACTTTTTGGTTCATGAAGCTGTCGAGAAGTTGGCAAAAAGCCCAAAAGGAAGGCTGTCCAAGCATCAACTACAGCTGTCTTAAGTGTTCCAGACTGTCTGTGCTTAACACTGAGCTTGTTTTCACCTGACAGTTAAGTGAGTTGGCCTGGTCTGAGTACAAGTGGCTGAAACATGGAAAAAAGTCAGCTGCAAAAATGCAGGGTGGTAAACAGCAAAGAAGTTGTTGAAACTTGAATCATTGTATCTGTGTTGTACTGTATACCAAAATAACAGTACCATTCAGAATCCAGCCCTTCTCTTCATTCATTAAGAAAGCCAGATCCATCTTCAGTGTTATCCCAAGCTGAATTTGTTATGTGAGCAAATGAAAAAATGGAGTCATGTTTGACCAAATTAAAGATGCAGCAAAGGCAAATGTTAACTGTTTACTTTCCAAGGCTAATTTTTCAACTTTTCTCTGTAAAATATGAGTTCCCAAATTCCTAGCCTCTGATTCCTCTGGTTGGATATTCTGAAGCAATTTCCTACAGACAGACCTATGCATCAGTCCCTGAAACTCACAAAAACCCACTGGGTCTGATGCAAAACTATCTGCATTGCATTTAGTTGCATTGTGCCATGACTGTGCTGGTACCAACAGCTGTTGCAGACATCCTGGACACCCCCCCACACACACACCTTTACAGCAGTGCTCGTTGCTCAGGCTCTGATGAGTCTTTCTCCTTATTGTTCTGTTATTGGTATGGATTTCAGCATCTCTGAACCAACTTCTGCTGAAGCCAGCAAGTTTCCATTGGTTTCAGAAGGACTGTAATGGTACACTTGACTGGTACAAGCATATCCTGTACCAACTCTGCTAGCTACTGCTAGCTCCTATTTGCTCCCTGCCTTGTTATGTAGTGGGGTGGTCTGACAGCTGCTGGCTCTGCAAGAAATGTATAAGTCCAGGCTTCCTGTTTTGGGGGTCTGTGGGCTTTTTTGCTTCTTATGGTATTTGTTTTGTTTTTTAATACCTTATCTCAACCTGAATAAAGGACATCAGTAAAATCCTGGGAGATGGGCTGTGTGTGTGTGCATCTACACATTTGGCATTCCCAAACCACTGAAATCACTACAGCCTGAGCAAGAAGACTTTTAAAGGAGAGCTCTTGCCTTGACTACAGCTGCCTAGATTCCTCCTGGTTTTCTTCATGAAGAAAGAGCAATCTGTTTTTGTCTAGTATTGCTGTGGTGACCCAGTCACAGGCTGGTGAGGGAGGTACTCTTGGCTTTTACCTGGGGACAGCTGCTCTGAATCAGCACTGTCCCACTGGCCAGCCCCTGCCAGGTACACACTGCACAGCCTATCTCTGGACACTACACCTGTTCCACAGGCCCTTAGCTATTCATAGGAAGACTTTGTTAGTTGTCTTCAACTTGTGCCCCTGATTTCACCAACTCAGCCTGAACTTAGATCCTGCCCCCATAGGGAGAAAGTCCAGCTGAAAATATCTCAAATCAGAAGAAGACTACTGCTCGTTAGTCTGTCCCACCCAGCTCTTGTTCCACTCCCTTGGACTTAGGGAAAATGTGGTCATTTCTAAGCTAGCTCTGAAGTAAGCAGGCTTGTGTAGCAGACTGAGGAAAAGAAGACCAAGGGATGGGGGAGATGCTTCATCATGAAGAAATGTTTTACATTTGCAGTAACAGCCACCCTTCACCATGGGATTGATTGCCTTAATTTTGTGAGAGGTTGCTCTGCAATTGCACATCAAGGCCTGTTTGGCCCTGAGATTTCCATTCCTGGTACTCCTGACTATATACCCAGGCCAAAAGAGCTTGAATTGGTCCCCAGTGTCAGGAGTATATAGATGCCAGCACTATATATAGGAGGGGAAAAGAGAAAGAAAAACCAGTCTGTGGGCTTGAAAATAGAGGAGGTGGAAGTAAAATGAAATGAGGGAAGAACATAGCAGAGGAGATTGCACAGGCTGAGGAAAGATTAACAGGTATTAGAAAAAAGCAGAAGACATGGGAGAATTCAGATCAATGCTGAGGCGAGCAGCAGGGAATGTTCTTAGCAAGGAGCATTAGGAAGGTGAACACAGATGGCAAGGTATGAAGGGCAGACAGACCTGAGAAACTGTAAGGGCAGCATGGAGGAAAAACCTTAAAATCCAAGAATGGGAAGAAGATACAAAGTATATGAACAAATATCTAAAGTAATAATACTCGCCAAATCAGAAACAATAATTTTCTTTATCTTGATGTTAGAAAGTTGCATATAAATTAAGCAATGGTAGTGTAAGAATAATTTTATTTAGTATTTTGGTAACACAATGATACATCTCAAAATGACCATAGAATTTAGCTTGCTAAATGACTGCATACATTCTAAATAGGTGCTACTAAATTTGAGTAACTTCACAAATTACATGAGGCATTATGTGACCAAACAGCTATATAGTGTGTAACCCCCGACTGACATGAGCAGTGTGGATGGATTTTGCACTAGTAGCCAATGCATAGTTAAAGATTTTGGAAGGGTAAAAAATTGCAAAAGCCATTTTTTATTAAAATATGAATTGATGATCCTTGCATTAGAATAGCTATTCAGCTGTAGGTTACATACTTTATTTCTTTTAATAACAGCACTTAAAAAGGTTCAAGAAAAATCATCTTGCTAGCATTTGATCTAATGTAGATCTCCATATGAAAATGCTGAGTATCTTATAAAGCTTTTCACAGGTATAGGCTAAGTTCTGGGGTATCACAAAGTTGTACATAATTCAGAAGAACACCTGAGGTTACTCCATGTGTATGTAGCAGAAAGCTTTTTTTAGCTCTAATACAGATGACAGATGCCATATGAAGTCAGAGCCTTTAAACAGGTACATTATCACTGTGTGGGATTATAGAGCGGTGCTTGTAGGCTTGATTCAGGTTTTTAAAATCAGTAGCAAAGCTTGTACTTAAGATCAGGATTGTGTTGTTAACCCAGCTCTTCCCAGCATTAGTAGGAGCTCTGTCCCTGCTGCCAGCGTGACTAGGACTGGCCACCTATCAGAAGTCACAGTGCAAATCCTTACTTGCTTAGGTCTCAGCAGAGCTACTCGCTGTGCAGCACTGTGCCCTTGTTTTTCTAGCTCTGCTAGCACTTTATCTGGTACTCGGCTGAGCACAGCAAGTCATGTGAGGTACTCTCATGTCTGATGGATTTTATATGTCATTGAAGGCCACCTGCAGCTCCAAAGAAGTGCCCAAATCTTTTCAAATCAGGCATTTACATAGGGCTGTTTGCTTTCTAGAGAAATATGTGGCTTTGTATATACAAACATTCGCCAGAGGTTCAACGCCATAAAGTTTCATGTGTGCTTTACTTTAAAATAATAGGTGTTAAAAAATTTTAGGAACTTTGCCTCAAAAATATTTTAAGAGTGCTTTTTGTTCAGTTAATGGGTACTTTAATTAGGACCTGTAATGTTACTTTTTCTTCTGGGACTTTGTTCCAAACAAATTGTACTAAAAGTACATAGTTGATTTTCAGATATACTAAATAATTCAATAGTACGACTAGCGAGTAGGGATATTATTTGGTCTATGCTTTACTTGAGGCTTGTGGCATGAATGTTTTAATATAAACGCCCCCAATCTCACTTCTACTTGACTTGGCCAATGTGGATTTTACTGGACTGACCTAAGTGCTTAGGGACAATAATACTAAAGAAACATAAAGTTCAGCTATACCTTTATAAATCTAATTAAAATACTTACTTTGTTCATGAACATGCTAATGAACAGAACAGCATATGATTTATATCACCCTTGCCATCTAGTGACATAGAAATTCTGATCTTTCAAAGCTTTATGGAAAGTTACTATATTAGGACATTCTGTTGATTTTCATAAAAAACATGAATTTTAGTTTCAAACATGCTTACAAGCAAGACTTTTATTTTTTTAGGCATTTATGTAAACATTTTGGAATGCTGAAGGCAAGACATTACATTGCCATTTTACCAAAAATGATGTGAACACTTATTACTGAGGCATCAATGTACATCCCAGCAGCCATAATACCAGAGCTGCCATGAGCCTATGGCAGTTTCCAGCAGAGTAAATTCAGAAGCAAGCTGCAGTGTTCTGAGCAACTGCTTTTGTTTGTTTTTTAACACTTCTGAAAGTGGAGTCACCGAAGGCAAACTTAGAGTTAAGGCATAGCGCATGGAGACATGGAAAGGATTATAGAGACAATGCCTGGAGATGCTCCAACCAGTCAGTAGATAAAAAGCACTTTACAATGACAACTTCTGTGAACAAGCTAGAAAAGAAAAGGCTTATTTTCAAATTGCATATGTTTTAACATTTAATATATTGTTCCCCTGGCTCTCCTTCTAGAATTAAAAAGATGACTGAATTATACCTTGTGCAACTTTTCTTCCTGCTTTTATAATGTTTTGTAATATTGGCTATATACCAAAAATCTCACCAGAACAAGCTATGAGTTATAGAAGTCTAAAAAGAGAGAGGAGGATTATCTGTAGATGCAAGGTTTATTGCTTAGGCATTTGCTGACAGCTGACTTTCACTGGCTGCTTTTTCTGCTTGCAGTCTTTGGACAGCCTGATCGAGCAAATCCATTGTATCCCTAAGCGTAACATTCAAGGTGAATGGCTTAGGTTTAATGGTTAGCCCATAGGTGAAGTCCATTTTAGGGTCCTCATTTGGATTAGCAGTAAAATTGCACTGATGCACCAATATAGAGGTAAAGAGAAAGAGCTGCACCTTGGATAACTCCTCTCCAATACACCGACGCTTTCCCAACGAGAAAATCATCACGCTGCTAGTAAGATCTTTATTGATGAACCCATTCTCATCCAGGAATCTTGTTGGATCAAAGTCCTCCGGGTTGGACCATTTTGCTGGGTCATGATTCACTGACCACTGATTTACAAAGATGACGGTGTCCTTGGGAATGAGGTAGCCCATGATGAAGGTGTTGGTTGTGGTGGCGTGTGGAATAGTCACAGGCACAAAGCTGCTGAAACGCATGGACTCATAGAGGAAAGCCATGATGTAGGGCAGGTGAGGCTGATCTTCAACACATGGCAGACGGTCTCTTCCAACAATCCTATCCACTTCTTCTTGCATTTTAGCCTGCACTTTCGGATACCTGTCATTTAAAGCAAGATGTGTGTGCATACATAATGCTTTCAAAGGATTTTTCTTACAAATAATCATTGCTGTAAACATTTTTCACAGAATCTCACCATTATCCTAAATGATGCAGAGTGAGCAAAGTTTAAATACATTGCAGGAATGTGTAGACCTCAGTTGAAAACTTTGAGAAAAAGAACAAACTTCCCATGCACTGGTGTAATTCTAGATTTGCTCCGTTTTTACTTTAGTATCCCGTATAACTGACTCGCAACGTAAAAAATAACAATAACCTAAAGTGTGCTGAAACTGAATATTCTGATCCAATTTTGAAAATTAATTCTTAAACTAGAATTACTTGTCTCTGCTAACTATTGGATTTTCCATGGGAACTCTGATTTTCCAACTCTGTACGTGACTTAAAAGTTAGCACTGAGTTCGTTATCACTAGACATATTTCATACCTTTGGAAGCCTGCAGGTTTCTAAACTAGAAAAAAAAATCCCAGTTATTAAAATGTCAGAATGGCTTTATGAAACTTTTAGTTCGAGAAGACATATTTTCTGATTATAGATAAAACATAATTTTATATTAATGTATTTAAAGATGACTGTCTTGAAGTCTGGACAGTTTGGAAGGCTACACAGTAACCAACAAGGTCAAAGTGTTAATACATCTTTTGCTTATCTGAAAGCACACATTCTGTCCAGGAGGGTTTATTTGCCTTAAGTATTCAAGTTTGCATCTTTGCTTTTTCCTCCTACAGCAGACTCACATGTAAAATGCTGGGCATAAAACGAGAAATGGAGAGAAGCCCAAAAGTTATGTGAACACTGGGCATCACACTCTTAGCTGGAGTGTTAAATATTTGCCTATTTTTCAAGAAGCGACTGAGTAGATAGTATTTGCATAAGCCTACAAATTATGCAGGCGATGGAAGAAAAATCCAGGGTAGACTAGAGAGTCAGTGTCATGGCACCTTCTCTTAAACCAGCTCCCCTCTCCGAGTTTCCCCGGCGGACGGGCCGGTGCCAGGGCAGCGCTCCCGCCGGCTGCCCAAGGGGTCTGCCTTGCCCAGTCACGCAATGGCAAGGAAGGCACACACGGCGGCAGCTCAGCATAATAGCGGGTTTGTAAACCGGTGCACGAACTCTTTATCGTGCTTAAGCAGCTGTTATCCTGTTCCTATGATCTCCTTGATCTTGACCTGGTAAAATCTTGGTACTTTCAGGTTTTACTCGGCTGCCTTTCTGCCAAACTCTCCTTATACACCCTAACCTGACCTGAGTAGGGTGGGATTTCTTTTCTTTTGTACTTCCTTATCTCTTTTTGGCAGGTTTCCCAGAGCTTCCGTGTTAGTTAATCGGAGGCTGCTGAGGCACCCCGCGCTGCAAAGACTGGTGCTGCCCGGTCTCGCAAACCCGCGACCCGACGGCGGGTCCCTGCCGGGGCCGCGCCCCCGGCCATGCCCGGACTCGGAGCTCCATGCACTGGCTCGGGCCGGCTGCTCCCGCCGCGGGAGCGCTCCCAGCAGCGCCTTTGCCCATGCGGCGCAGTTTAAACGGGGCTCCCCCGGGACTGGTGAGCGCTCGCACGTCGGGCGGGCTCGCATGTCCCCCCCATCCCGGGTCGGTGGGGCGCCCGGCTGTGCTGCCGCCTCCGCCGGCACATACCTGATGAGGAAGATGAGGAGCCACTGCAGGGCGGTGGAGAGGGTGTCCTGGCTGGCGCCGAAGATGTCGGTGACGGTGGCGGGCACGTGCTCGAGCTGCAGCCGCGGCTGCTCCCGCTGCAGGCGGATGAAGGCGTCCATCATGTCGCGGGGGGCAGCCCCGGGGCGCAGGCTGCGCTGGTGCTGCAGGAACTTGCCGCGGACGAAGCCGTAGAAGTCGCGGTTGAGGTCGCGGAAGGCGCGGTAGGCGGCGCGGACGGGGCTGGGGAAGCGCTGGAGCCAGGGCAGCGCATCCACAAGGCTGCCGGCTCCCACCGCCCGCCCGAACTGCTCGTTGCGCCCCACGATGCGCAGGAACTCGCCGTCTCCGTGGCTGTAGCGGCGGCCGAAGCACAGGGCGCTCATCACGTTCGCCACGGCCACCACCAGGACGCGAGAGGGGTCGAGGAAGGCGCCGCCGGCGCTGCCGCGCACCAGCAGCGCCACCAGCGCCCGCGCCTCGCCCACCAGGTGCCGCTCGAGCAGGCGGCGGGTGGCCGGGCTGCCCGTGGAGAAGGCGCGCACCGTGGCGTGCGCCGCCCGCCGGTGCAGCTTCCAGAGCTCCGAGTACCCGCCGAAGGCCAGGCTGAGCCCGCCCGACACCAGCTGGAAGGACGGGAAGGGCGGGCGGCCGGCGAAGGCGGCCCCCTGGCGGACGAGGGCCTGGCGGATGGCGCGCTCCCCGTTCAGCACCACCACGGGCCAGCGCCCTAGGCGCAGCTGGAACACGGCGCCGTAGGTGCTGGCCAGCCGGGCGAAGGAGAGGTGCGGAGCGCTGCCCAGCTGCGCCGCGTTGCCGATCAGGGGCCAGGGGAAAGGGCCCGGTGGTGCCTGGCGCTGGCCCTGCCGCCGGCGCTGCTGATGCTGCAGGACGAGCTTGCCCAGGTGGATGGCGGCGAGTAGGCAGAGAAGGAGCAGAAGGGAGCTTTGCAACGGAGGAATGCCGCGCAGCGCTTCCCCGAGCCTCTCGAGGGCCATGCTGCAAGGGAAAGGGAGAGGTCAGCGGGCAGCGTCACCGCGGGGTGTGGGCACCTTCAGGTCCCGCGGGCAAGGGGAAGCCCGAACGGTACGCTCTGGCGTGGCGGAGGGGAGCGCCGGCAGCCGTCCGAACGCTCGGAATCCGGCAAGTTCTTACTGTGCGTTCCTCGTGTGCCTAAAGCCCTTCGAATCCTGTGCGAAAAACAAGGGATAATCGATAATCAAATGGCAAGCTCCTAATAAGAGATCGAAGTCGTATTTGGCGGGGGGGTCCGGTAGGGAAAGGTCTCTGCGAGAGATCCAACAGATCACGGCTGAGAGAGGCACAGTGGGAAGCAGGAGGATGCTCTCTCCTGACGAGCCTCCGCAGATGCCGGCAATTGACGTGCGCCGGAGACAGGTTAATTCCGGCGCTGCACATCCCTGCCCCCGGCGAAAAATCCCCTGCGAGAAACGGGATACCCGTCCCACTGTCGGAATTTCCCCCTGCTGCGGAGAAACGTCCGCACGCGGCCACAGAACCCCCTCCGTCCCGAGCCCTTCCCTCGAGCCTTCGGACCCGTCGCGACATCGCCGGCTGGCGGTGTGCCGCCCCGGGGATGGGCTGCAGAGGATGCCCGAGGACTCTGCGTGGCAGTGCTGACTGGTCCCGCTTCCCATCCCCGTGCCCGGGGACCGCCCGCTCCTACCATTTGCTCCAGCCTTTCAGAAGCAGTGAGGGGATGAAGGGGTGAAATGAGCGGCGGGCTCCTGTAGCAGAACTGACCTGTTGCACTCTGCTTCCATCCGAGACCTTGGGGAGGATGGAGAGGAGCTGTGCAGCCGGCGGCAGCTGTAATGGACAGTCGCGGCTCCGAAGAGAGCCGGGACGGCGGCGTTCAGATCCAAGCCTTTGGGAAACTCATTAGGAGCCCCGGTACCTGTCACCCGGAGTTTGGCAGGTCATGTGCAGACAACCGCCAGTTGCGCCCGATCCCAGCGCAGTTATCACCTTCCCAGCTCTTTAACCCTTCGGAGCTCTTCCCAAGGCAGCCACCTGCCCCGAGCAGCCCCGCGGACCGGGAGAGAGCGGGTTGCTGAGCCCACTCCCTCCCTCTCTCTCTCCCTCCCACCCGCTTGCTGGGCTGCGGGGACGGGACAGGGCCAGCCCAGCCCGCTGCAGGGAGCTAAGGGGAGCAGCTCAGAGGGAGCGGAGAGGACGGCCCGCTGCTCTCAGGCTCCGCCGGAACCGGAGCCGCCACCTCTGGGCGCCTGGCATTGCCACTCCCGGCTTTAAACCCGCCGGCATCCGCGGTGCGCGGCGCGGTGCGGGCGGGACGCGGACGGCCCCGCTGGCAAATCGCCGTTGCCTGGCCCGTCCCCTGGCTTGAGGGGTCGCAGTTATTTGCCAGCTGCCCTTGGGCCCTCGCCAAGCGGAGCGGCTGAGCCGCGGATGCTTTTATGGCCGGGGCCAAAAGTTTTAGCGGAGGAGGTGCCGGGAGGGGAGCGGGGTGGCGGGCGGACTCGCAGCTCTCGCTGTAGGGAGGCGAAGTCTCTACTGCATCTTAGGGGCTGAGGAAGCCGAAGAGCTTCCCCTCCTCCGCCTGTCGCCTCCCCGTTGCGTGCGGAGTTAGCATTGCGTGAGCCGGGGCTGGAAAGCCTCCAGCCATCTCCTCCCCGGGCCCCTACCCCTCCTCGCAATACCTGACACCAGCTCCGGGGAGAATAAGGCTGGGAAGCGCCTGGCAGCTTCCACCCCGGCCGGCTCCGGTGCCCTCCGGCCTCGCCTCCGCCCTGCTCTCGCTTCTCTCCCGCTTACGGCGCTTTTTTACTCTTAAATCTGGCGCCTCCGCCCGCACTGGGAGAGCTGGCGAGAGGCGTGTGGGTACGGCGCTCCAAGCCCCCCCGGGCTTTCCGGCACCCCGGGGGAACCGGGACTGCAAAACCCCCAGATATGGGGGAAATCGTTCCCCGAGAAAACAGAATACCTTTGCTTTGTCTTGTCATTTTTGCAGTAACAAGAAAAAAAAAAAAAGAAAATACAGCATTTATTTCAGATTCTTTACAGTCACATCATTAGAAGAAAATACGGTGTTTTGGTAGCATTTAGGGATTAGACAAAATTAAATGCTGGGAGTCAGCCCAGCTCAGGGTGTGAGCCCGGTTCTGGCCAGGCTGCTACTGCTTCTGTCTTTGGTAAAAAGTGTAATCCTGCCTGTTGTCACTGTCCCAGGCTCTTCCAGACGGTGATGCTCCTTCTTGCTCAGACTAGCATCAGCCTTGGATCGTCTGTTGGCTTGGAGCTTCTTCCTGTCGCTGCCAAGTAACAGAGGTGTCAAAACCACTTTTTCTGAGCAGTGCCGGGAAAAGCGAGCTTCCCTTTCCCAGCCCCACTTCTAGGGTGAACTGGAAGGATCCTGCACACATATCCCAGCTTCAAAAAATAGAGCAAAGAAAGCTCCATCCCTTCTGGACTAAGGTTAGGGTGTTCTGATATCTCCATCACTACCAGAAGATTGAACCCAATTTTCACATGCTATAATCATTCAGCTATGCAAAAGTTGTCACCACCCCCCCTTCATCTGTCTCATGTCAAAGAAGAGACATGGACGTCTTCTGGCAAAGTTCCAGAAAAAGATCTGGGTGGTACTGATTTTTTGCCACTGAACAGATCTATTCCAGGCACTGGATCTGAGGGGTAAGAACTAGCTTGGATCAGTTATCTGAACTTTATATTATAGTGCTGGGCATTTCTTATTTCCAGCAGGTAAAGTTGCCCTTTTCTTGGTGACTGTTAAAAAGTCTCCTAAACTCCAGGCATTCCAGCTCTCGTTAATAAGTCCCTAAACCCATTTTTTTGGTTCAGCAACTAAATTAGTTGTATTGCAATTGGATTTATCCTGGCTGTTTGCAAGAATTACAGAGAAAAGGATACATTTCCACTATCATGGCTTGCAAACTCAAAATTTAAGGCAGGAGCCTAGGAGTTATAAATCCTGATACTTTTTTTTATGCTCTAAGGAAACTAATTATTTCTCATTTCACTTCTCTTTGGTCTTCAAGAGTTCTGTCCCTATTAGAAAAGAAAGAAAACCAATTTTAGGTATTTTTTTCTGTGGTGATAGTACCAGCTGGCCCCCCCGTACTATTTACAGCTTTGGCTCCCTATTTCAGGTATTATAGCCTGAGTATTGTTTCGACTGTATACATTGAACATTCACCCAGTTTTTTAGGCTTTGATGCTGTGTGACCTTGATTAGTCCCTTGGTCTCTATTATATGCTACAAATTGCCCTCCTGCCCACCTCTATATTCATTCTTCTCACCTCCTGTTTGTAGAAGCATAGGAGTTCAGAATTACTGGTAGAGAATGTATGTTCTTTTTTTCCCAGTTCTAGGGACTTAATTGAGATGCAGGTCCTACTGAAACCAGTCCCAGATTCCTGAGTTGGTTCGTTTTGTTAGGCACTGAAGACTGAATCAGTGAAAAGGTATGTCACGTAAAACGAATTATTTCTGAGGTCCAGAAAATCCTACTTGATATAATAACAGAAAAAGAGTTGAAGGGCTACAAGTGAGTCGGTGTGGGATTAAGAGAGAGGAATTCAGGCCTAATCTCTTAAAAATCTTGATTGATTTGATAGGAATGCGAGATGCAGGGTTTATGGGGGATATCAGCACCTCTGTGATTGAATAAAGTTGCTTACATATGTGGACAAGCATCCTCGTTGTGGAGGTAAAAATTCGATAAAGGAAGAGGAATTGCGCAATCTAGAGAGTCTTCATTTGCCCTTTAAGAGGGAATTTTTATATCTGCCACAGTCCTCCCTCTTCCAAGGAAACTCTTTAAGCCTTAAGAGATTTTTACAAGTGTTAAGAAATACTTACCTAAATCTGGCGTTGAAGACCCAATACTTAGTTTTGCTTCTAACCATGGCAGCTCTTGCCTTTGCTTTTGGATACTAGCAAGGTGCTTATAAATCTTCATGAGCAGCAACTGGAATTTCTCATGGACTTGACCTTGCTCTGTTTTCTTTTCTTAATTCTTCCTTTTGCATCTTTCCATGGAGAGCCCTCCCACACTAGATTTCTGTCTTTCCCATACCTGGGACTATGGGTCTTTTCCTCCTCTCTCTTAATTTTACAAAATCCCAAGGTGGATTAGTTGAGCAATGTTTTATCTTGGGATTGCTTCAACATAGATCTTGTACAAATTGTTTACCGTTTGTAGAGTGATTCAAGCCATTCTTTGTTAAACAATCCTTGGCAGTGTTGTTTCTGATTGTCTGTTTCAGAGTGTTGCACAATAATATATAAGATGAATAAACAAGTAGCATAACTGTAAAACACAAATCACTTGGAAATGTAACCAAGTGTAATATCCTACTGTTTCAGGCTACTTAAAATTGTACAGATGCACTTACATACTTCTAGTGTTCAACCCGAGTCTCAATACTGCTGTAAGTCAGGAAAATCACCACTACTACAATCAGAATAAGAACCTGTAAACTTGTGTATTTGTAACAGCTCACTCAGACTATGTTTATGTGGTGATCCCTCTTGATGAAGGGTTACCATTATGCTTCAAGTACTTTCAGATCTGGAGCTGAAGTCTGTTCTCAGTCCAGCCACTGAACCAGCTCATGACTACTGGTTCTGTGGTCACCATCTGTGCTTGCTGCTCTGCTCCCAGACATGTCCCTGCTTCCTCGGGCTTACCTACACTGCACTGAGTGCTCAGTGTTTGAGCCAGCTTGAGACAGCAGCACCACAAATGTGCATGGTAGTGAGATAATTTCTGGTGCAGGCTCCTGGTTTGGCTCAGTTTGGCAGCTTTCTGGTCATGCCAAACAGGAGTTGTAAGTGAAATAGAAAGACCTATATCCTCAGGTCTACCCAGAGTGCCAGGCATATATAAGAGCCAGCTGCAGCTCTATGATTCAGGATTATTTATTTAGGCCACTCACTGTGGCCTAAAATAAAGCATTTGTGGTATGCTTTTTAAAGCATATGTATTTGTGGTTGCATATCACTTTCTTAACCTTCATTAACTTGCAGCTTTCTTTGGACTTTCACTCTTCCCTGCATTCCCACTGACTTCCCAGCTCACGTTTTCAATTCTGCCTTGCTATTGAAAACCCTAAATTTGGTTTCTAATTCTGAGCCAAATTCCGGCAGCTGCTGTGGGAAGGCAAGGAGCCTCCCAGTGCTTGCTGGGGCTCAGTTCAGTGGTATACTGAATTGTAGCCTCTCCATCTGTTTGCATTTTTCATGTTACTTACAAATTAAAGGCATACATTGTGGTCTGCTTCCACATAGGCAACACACAGGTATGATTATAGAAATGAGGACATGGTGTTACGCTTAATTCAAGTATAAAACTTGATTCTGAAACTTCTAATTCTGCCTGATTCCTACAGTATTTGTTTCCAAAGTTTGCTGCCTTTTCTTGACAGTATTAGATGAAACCACACAGTTTAGTCTTTTTTGAGAGGAAAACACAAAGATGATACCTTTGTGGATACCTGTTGAGAAGGCTTTTTAAACTGTCTTCTGCTACAAGGCAAAAGAGCAAAATTTAATTTACACACTGTTGGGCCCTCATCCATGCTATTTTCTGTGTGTCTTTTTACTGACATTGTACAAATTCTTTTAAAGTTCTTTGAAAAAAGCAGGTGGATTAAATGACATTTAGGAAAGATTAGACACTGCTCAAGGCGTGCATTATTGAGTCTGTGCTCAAATGTGATGTATGGGCAAACTGCTGTGCCTGCGCACTCTCCTGCTTCAGCAAGGGGGGTCTCCCAGGCACATCTGGCAGCTCTGCATCCTCACACTGGTTTTGAGGTTTACAGAACCCAGAGCTGTGTTGTGAATGTCCATCTTTACACTGAAGTATCTAAATATTATAACCTTTATGATGTGCCAGGTCACTTCAAAGTTTAAAATCATTGCCTAGGACCAATATTGTTATCGTGTTAACAAGCAGTAATATATCTCTCCTTTGTTTTCCAGACTTTGTTGAGTATTGTATTAGTAGTAGTGATACAAGCTCTGTAGTGCAATTGCTTTATTAACT